AGAAAGAGTGAAAAAGTATACCTTCATCTTTCTTTCAGTGGTGCTATCTGATTTTAGTCTTATATTCATTTTTGCATTTCTCTGAAAGATGCTGATACTGTCAAATCGAGACCTTTTCAACTTGTGGTGGTGATGGATTAAGTGGTCAGCTCCACTTTTCTGTCTGAGGCTGTTGCCTCTGGAACAGGAACAACTGAATGGCGTGTATTGTCACTCAGGAATAGTCACAGTTAGTCTGGCGTGTTAACTTAAACTGACGGTCAAGGATGGATGTGACCTGTTGTCTCTGGAAGTGCTGCTTATGATTTCAGGAAAAGGTAGTGATGTGGCAGTAGAAAGACTAATGCATCTTTACCATGGAGTTAGAATGAGCAGAAGTCGGCCAGAGTCTAGCAATGCTTATTACTCTACCTCTTGAGTGTAGAGGGCAGCTTTGGCACAGTTTTCAAGTGATTCTAGCAAGATTTGAAAAAGGATTTTTTTGAGTGACTACAACCTTAAATTGAAATTCAAATTGTTGAATGCATGATACAGCAATAGCTTCACAAAACTGCAGGGGGAAGCAGATGACTACTAATGGATGACTTAGAGATAGAATTGGTATTTGAAGCTGAAAAATATATTCCTTATCTATTTAAATTCCTTGCTTCTGTGCACCCTTTGAACCCCAGTAATTTTACATTGACTGCTACTTGGTGACCTTACAAAAGGGTATATGAGATGCAGATGTGCATTGTCACGCTGTATAAATAGCCTTACAGAGAAGAGAGTACGCATTTGCTGCTCTTGACAAAACTGGAGCCAAGAACAGTTCCCAAGCAAAGGTAAATCAATTGATCAAATAAAATGCATAGGAACAGCCAGAGGAAGCATAGTTGGAAGCATTACAAACTGAGGATGTTTGTCCTTCAGCTCTCACCAGCTATATTTAAGGATTTCACTTCCAGCACTTTTATTATATTGGTTACTTCCAAAACAAAACAGCTTTCTTCTCTAATAGTAGAACAATGCTTTAATACTTTTATTTTTAACCCTGAGTTTTTTGGCAGAGTTGAGGTCCAGGGACTGTATTTGGTGGCCTTTTGTTTGAATTGTTGTACTTTATTGTTGAAGGCCAAGCTGTCTTACTTCAGATCAGGCCTTAATCTTCAGCACCTCTTGCTTGCCAGGCAGGTTTATGTTAAGATCCTAATTTCTTCAGAATATGGACGATTGTAATTCAGTATCCAAATCTGTAAACATTTCTAATCAGATCCTTTAAGAATCGTATTACTAGTTAAACATAGTTATTTCTTCTGGACTTTAAAAAATAATTTTTTGACTTTGTACATCAAAAAATAATGCCTGCCGCTTGGAATTTGCCATCTTTGTGTTAGTAAAATTTGTCAAAAACAAACCTTAAGATTTGGCTGACTTTGAATAGCAGAAAATCATAATGGAGTGTAAGTTGAGGAAGTTGTGCCTGACCCCAATGTCATTCGTATATGAGCAGCCTCAGGGAATGTAGTGGGTCAAGATATCTTTTCCTTAGGCAGAGCATTCTAGGAGTTCAGTCTGACCTACTTCCCTCGCTGAGGAAAGGGTAGCCTGCCCTGCAGCTACTTAAATCTTTTTCTGAAAAATGAGTGGGTGGGGACACTGAAATGACATTGTGCAAAATTTGTCCCAAGGACAAGTCACTTGCAATTTTTTCACTCTGGGCTGATATGACCACAGTAAACTGATGACCAGTCAATTTGCAATTGTCCATCAAAGCTGGAAATGCAGCATATTGAGTGAAGAGGTTATGTCTTCCAACAGCGCTTTAGCTTTTGGTTGTGTGTTTTGTTTTTTCTTTTTTTACCCTGAATTTGAATGGAAGACAGATTCTAACAGCATCCATTGGAGCAGTCCTTTCAGGTTAAATGTAAATTCATCCAAAATAGTTGACTTTCCACTGCTTTTGTGTCAGGAGTTTCTGTTAAAGAAATGTATATATGGAGGAATAAATGATGTATTTATTTCACAAATACATAGTGCACTTTAGAGGGCAGTGCATTTAGGATGTGACGTGCTAATACATATGCTTTTACATTTTGTGGAAAAGCCAGAGGAATTTGCTTTTAGGGATATTTTGCTACTGTGTATCACTTGCGGGTCATACTTCAAATGCAAATCCAGAATGATGCATGAGATACCCTGTAGACCTTACCTTTTTGAAAAACACTGTGAAAACTTGTAGTTTGGAACTTAAGGGACATCCTGAAACCCGTAATACAGGGATATCTTGAAAATGTTGGTCAAGCTATAATAGAAATACTGGTTTTGAACCAGGACTGCATTGCTTGCATTGCTGCTTTCCAGGGGGCTAAGTAAGATGCAAAACCATATACGGTGTTCTTAACGATGCTGCTGGCTTCTGAAACATGCTTAGACAACATCTTTTCTGGTCAAATAGAAGTGACCGCAAGACTGTCACTGACACTTGTATGTCTGTAACAGTTATGTGACTAATAGTCCTCTATCCTTCAAGTTTGTGCAGTTTGATTCGCAGGCAAGAGGACATACCAAGGAACAGGCTTTCAGAGCAGGAGAGTTATATGAATCCTTGGCTTCCCGGTGTGACAGTCCTTAAACTCTTCAGTTGCTCAGAACTTCCATCTGCCCATGTTTCCCCAGTGAACATGGCCACACAGCCACCTCGGTCTTTCCTCTGTGCTGTTGAGACTCTAGGTCACAATCCTCTTGGCTACCTGAGACGGAATCCCACAACTGAAGAATATTTTTTGTTCTTTTAACTCTCCTTTATATTTAAAAAAAAAAACAAACTTATTTTCCTGAAGCCTTCTTGCTGCAAATCACTTTTTATATTCGCATTTAATACTTAACTGGGGTAAACATATAATACTTTGTAAAAATTTTAATAAAATGAAACAAAATAATGATAATACAGGTAAAGCTTTTCATCCAGTGTTCCTTGATTTTAGGGTTTCTGCATCAGGAGTACTGTGACTGTGCAGTAGTTCTCATTTTATATGAAAAAAATTCTTTCATTATTGTAGAGTTGTAACTCTACCTTATGCAACAGTGAATCAGTTAATGGCACTTAAAGGCCAGTTCTAAGTAGGTCATGAGCAATGAAGTCAGTAGGGCTAGCGTTTCAAGCATTTCTTTTCTTGAATGAGGGTCATCTATGTAGATCTTTCATGTTTTCCAGCAGGATCATCATCTCCAAACCTGTTCTGTGCTGAAATCTGGCTGCTTTTTTCACTGGTATGAAAATTAATTCTATAATTACTTTCACACTATATGCATTCAAGATGTTTTAAAAATCTCTTTCTGTGGAGGGCCGACAGTGCGTGTGGCAGTGACCTTGCTGGAGCTGTTCTGTCTGGCACTTCGAAAGTTTGGGTATAGCTTTCAATTGCAGTTACGTACTCCCTGTGCAGAACAGCAGAATCCTGCATATATACAAAGAATTTGTGCTTTCAATGCAGCTTGTGCCTTAAGTATTTAAATTTATTTGTATGCTCATATTTAGAAAGCACCAACTGGCTTGTGTACATTGGTGCAAGTGACATTGTGGAAGGACTTGTGTAGGTTTGTCAGTCCACCCTGGAGGAAAGCCAATTTCTAAATAGTGGTGCATGTTTTGCCTGACCTATGTTTTGAGGTTTTTTTAAATGTGAGGGGCAATGAGTATTAGAAAACATATTTAATAGGTGATAGGAAAAAATTTAGTTATCTAGGCATGTATCAAAAGGGTCAGATGATATTTTACTTGTGTAATTTTGTGTGTCACAACTGAACGCCATTCCCCTGAATCTAGTTTTCAGAGCATTGTGATCTGTTATCAGTAAGATGGTGACAGTGGTCGGGTGAATTAGTTTCCAAAACCAATAAAAGCAAGAGGAGAGAACCTCTGATTTTGTATTGTTTGTCAGCTACTTGGCATAGCTGTGAGATGGTGCAGTGCTCCACAAAGGGTACTATATTTAGCTGTTTCCAAGGAGATGTTCTGTGCGATATTGATAATTGCATTAATCCTTGATTTACACAGTCTGCAGGAAAAGAAACTGCTCCTTTTCCTAGTGTTGTTTTTTTAATTGCTCAATGATCTGTAATTTATAGACACCTTGATTTAAATCCTTTGTGTATGCATGTGTGTTGGGGGAAAAATCAGTGGTCAAATGATCATTTTTCTACCATAGAAATGATTCATGAACATGAGCATTGCTTCTTGATGTTACTGTCTTACTTATACTGCTTTGTTTTTACTTGTGTGAGGTATGTTTGCATGTGAAAGACTTCCATTGTAAATAGGTTGAAGAGATGGCTTGATGACATCCTGTGTTTTCTGTGTCAGAGGCTAAGAGCATTCATGTCAACTTCACTTGTGCCAAGAGTACTGTTAAGACATTCATGGTTGAAAACACAACTCCGCGCAGCATGTGCAATTTTCACTGTATAACAGAACAATCTTCCCGTCTCTGGGTCTGATGGTTTAGTCACTCTCTGCATAAGAAATCTTTCAGGGCAGTATTATCCATGGACCTGTTTCTAATGCAGTCAGCTCAACATGCTTTGTACATCTCTGAAAGCAACTGAATTTCTGAGGTGGAATTATTTCAAGGAAAACTTTTGAGACTTTACATCTGAAATATATTCTACATAATTAAGCTGCACTGATTGAATTAAACTGAGTTGGAAAGGACAAGCAAACAGCCAGCTAAAATGCTAACGTATTAGTTTAAACCATGTAATTCACTATGAATGCTCTTTCTGCATACTGTTGTCCGTGAACTGGAGCTTTTTAACTGTCTTGTTGTTTTACTCCAGTGTTTCATGGATATATAAAGTATGTCACGTCACAATGAGTACAAGCAAGCAATCTCGGTACTAGTTACAATTCTTCAGGTTATATTTTATTCTGATTTCCATTCATACTTTATTTGGAACTGCAGCTGACCTACTTGCTCATTTCAATTAAATACTTTGAGACATTGTCTTTTCTTTTGTAGAAAAGAAGAAAGGAGAGCACAACACTGAAGGAGAAAGGAAATGAGCAGTTCAAGAAAGGAGGTGGGTTGATAATCTTTTAACACCATATGGATGTTAGAGAATCTTAAATTAATACTTAGCCATCATGGTGATGTTGCAGAAAACCCATAGGAAGTTCTCACACCTATCATTGTTCAAATTTATCATCTATATCATTTTTCATCCAGATCTAGAGAACAGAAGGAGATAGCAGACCTCCTTAAGAGTTAAGCTTAAATCACAAAGACTTGGATTACTAAAGCAGGATTCTCATGAAAGCTAAGTATTTAAACCCAAGAACATGATACAGAATTGACTGCCTTCCAAGTGTGAGGGTTTCTTTTACTAATCAAAAAAGGCTTCCACTGTGCTCCGAGTTTTGCTAATGCGTGTGCTTAGAATTGATGCAGGACTCAGTGGCTCAGTAGCTCCCTCACACCTTTGTACATTTGCATGTTTCTTTTTATCCACTGACTCTATCTGTTATACATTTTATTTATGTATGTGTGTGTGTATGTATATATAGACATCTGTATATACATACACACACATATGTACGTCTATATCTGCTTACATGTACATCTATATACATATACACATACATGTATATACCTATGTGTATATGCGTATATAGAGATGTACACACATGTATATTTGTGTATAGAGATGTACATGTACACACACATACATATATTAAAAAAAAAAAATCTAGAGGTATGTGAATTTCTAGCTTATGCCAGAACTGGACATGTTCTGAACATAGTTAATAAATAACAACAGGGTTGAGGTCAGTAATAAATAACTGTACCAATGCTTTTAATTAAAAAACATAATGGGGGAAGTGATTTTGACACCCACCTGTCATTTAATGTTCTGGTGGCTAGAGGATTCACAAAGAAACCAGGAAATGTAGATTCATACTTTCCTCAGTCAGACGGGACACAAACAAGTAACTTCCCCTTCCCAGAAGTATACCTGGTAACCAGACAGTGGCCTTCCTGTTGGAGGTCTCTTATTGTGTGCTAAGAGAGCAAGATTCCTGGGGAATGATTTACCAATTCAGGCAAGCATCAGAGCAGGCAGAAGGGAACTGCTTGGACCATGAAAGCAGCAAACTGTAATGTTGGCTGAATCATCTTGTGAAGTCTCATCCATAGCTGCCTCTTGACAGATTCTTTGGCAGATCTTTTCAGTGTGCCTGTGCCTGCAAAGTGCTTACTAATCAGAAATACACAACCTTTTAAGCACCTGGGTGGTCACCAGCTAATGTGCACAGAAAGAATTGCTCTGTTTTGAGGACAATGCACTTGTCAGCTGGCAGGGCATTGTTCAGAGTCGGTATAGGGCGTTTTCACTCTTGACTCTACCTTTATTAGAAAAATGCATAACTTGATAATCCTGTGTGGTTTACCACTGGTCCTTGCTTTAGACCAGACTTGATGATGGATGACCTTCGGGTGATAATGGGTTTGTGGTGACTGACCTTTAAGTCAGTCATTGAAGATGATGTGGCAAATAAAATATCTCCATAGCTACTTTGAACAGGTATCAGCACAATGACATGTTTCAGCACATGCTTCCTTTCAGATCAAGGATACACTTAATCTAAAGAGATTCTATCTCTAAGGCTGATACTCAAATAGAATGAAACGATTTCAGGGATGAGAATTATATGCACATCATGCTGCACTTGTTACATTAAGCTCAGGACTATATTTCTGCTTTTACAAGGGTGTTGATTTTAAAATAATTAATTGTCATTGATTTATGTACTACTTAGTAATGTACTTTGAGAGCAGCTACTGATTCTGGTTTAATATTACATCATATGTTGAGAAATGTTTCCAAAGAAATCTTAGCCATGTGGTTCACTGACTGTACTGGCATTTGAAATAAATGGTCTGGTTTGGGTTTTTTCTTATTGCATCTGCAGACTATGGAGAGGCGGAAGACTCTTACACGAAGGCTCTACAGATTTGTCCAGCCTGCTTCCAAAAAGATAGGGCTGTTTTGTTTTCAAACAGAGCTGCTGCAAAAATGAAACAGGTGAATATTCTTTTTATTTTATGAATGTATTGATTATATGACAAAGGCAATAATGAAGTCATTAGGGGTGCATAAAGGAGGGCAAAGGAATAAAGCTGTCTGCAGGTTTTGCTGCTTGCTCAGTCTCTCATGCTCCCAGTAGAAGTGCTGGTATGCTTGGTTTTACTGAGGATGAATACAAACCTGAAAGTTGCAATTGGAACAGCTGTTCAAAGTTGCTCTGCTGCATTATGTTTAAAACACTGATTTTTCTTTCATTCTCTCTATTTTAAGGAAATTCAAAGTTCATGTGGAACAGATGTCTTTAAGCATATTTCGTGTATGCAGACCATGTGCTAGATTGTTTAGAATTGTAGCTAGTTAGTGCTTTTTCTAAAAGCCTGGATTGTCATATACTTGTCTTCATTTAATTGGCTCAAATGCTTTGAGGCATAAGCAGGACTTCCTAAGCATGGCTTTATTAGTTCAGTTAGTCTGCTTCCTTCACAGTTATTATATAGTAGGACAGACCTATATAGTAGGGCATGGTCTGGATAGAATGGCTACAGCTTTCTTCATATGTTTTCTATTCCTTGACTGGGGACAGGTGCGCAGATGTTACCAGAATCAGCAATGCAGTTAGGTAGCATGGAAGGCATAGAACACAATCTGTCTGAACAGAAACTTTCACTTCTTTAGAAAGAGGAGATACTAAGAATTCAGGGGAAATTACTCCCTATTTTTGCCTTTGTTTTTAAGATTAAATTATTATAGAAAAATAGCACAGTAACTCCTGTCCTCAGTTTACCTTCCTGCAAAGCGAACTTTCTTGCAGTTTTCCTCCAGTATTGAGACAGATGCAGCTCTGTTTAGAAATGTACCTTGCAGCCATATTTAGGCATAAATAAATAAATTCTTACTCAGCATAGAGTATTCTGGTTTGGCTAGAATTATTTAACTCGCTGTTGGGATATGGAATTGTTTGAGCAGACAAGGAAAAAAGGAACAAAATTCTGTAATAACAGATGCTGTAACCTTTCAAATATGAAAGCTTTAAACTGGAAAACCTCCTCATAATACAGATGTTAACTATTCATATCACTGGGAAACTAATCCAATAGTCCCCAAAGGAGCCCAAGATGATAGAAGAACTGTGCACAAACTAGTGTATCTCACCAGTATAAATCAGTGGAACCTGACAAACCAATACATTACTCTGAAAATAGATTCATATTATTAATAACTTCCCCATTAAGTTTGTTCTTCCATACCTGCTGCACCCATTTGCTTTGCACTACAATAAAAGCTTGTGAGGCATTCTTCTGTGAGACAGCTTCTGTTTTATGGAGGAGAAAATACTTCCTTGGGTGTAGAAAGATTACTGCTACTTAGATCAACAATACAAGAATTATTTAACTCGCTGTTGGGACAAAGAATTGTTTGAGCAGACAAGGAAAAAATGGAACAAAATCTGTAATAACAGATGCTGTAACCTTTCAAATATGAAAGCTTTAAACTGGAAAACCTCCTCATAATACAGATGTTAACTATTCATATCACTGGGAAACTAATCCAATAGTCCCCAAAGGAGCCCAAGATGATAGAAGAACTGTGCACAAACTAGTGTATCTCACCAGTATAAATCAGTGGAACCTGACAAACCAATACATTACTCTGAAAATAGATTCATATTATTAATAACTTCCCCATTAAGTTTGTTCTTCCATACCTGCTGCACCCATTTGCTTTGCACTACAATAAAAGCTTGTGAGGCATTCTTCTGTGAGACAGCTTCTGTTTTATGGAGGAGAAAATACTTCCTTGGGTGTAGAAAGATTACTGCTACTTAGATCAACAATACAAGCACAGAACAGCCTAGTGGTTTTTTGGTGGTTGGTTTTTTTTTTTAAGCTCTTTTAGTTTGAATGAAAATAGGATCTCTGTCTCAGCAATTTGGGTTTTGTTTTTTTTTTTCCTTCTTGTTTCATTATAAGCAGATTGCCTGGCTCTCATCTTCTAACTATGGTTGTCTGGGTGCACTAAAATCTCGTCCCTACCACTTCTGGAACTCTCATGCATTGTCCCTTGTAGAGAAAGCTGTATTAGTGCTAAAGGCAGTATCTGCTTTCCAAATGTCTTAGCTCGTACAGACAAGAATTTACCTGGGAGTCTTGGGAACTGTCTATTCCAACCCCTCAATTATTTGACAAAGGTAGAAAAGCTGTAGCTCGGTTAAGCCAAGGCCTGCAGATATGACTCAGCCTTTTGACTGTAGCTTGCTGCCGGCTGTTCAGTGCAGACCGATTAGTGGGGCAGCCATGCAATTTGAACGCTGGCAGCCTTCACAGAGAGGATGCTAATCACTGGTAAAGAGCTTTACATCAGAAGCAACGGTATGAAAAGCCTTGATTACATGAACATCCCAGTTCCTTGGAATGCCAGACAAACCTTTTTGCTTGCAATTGTAAATAATCTATTTCCCAAGAAATATGACTTAAACATAACAAAACTATTTTGTGTTCTAGGACAAGATGGAAGCTGCCCTAAGTGACTGCAGCAAAGGTATGACTTTTTTTTTCCCTGTGTGCTGCTCTTGTGCCAGATCTCTCATACGTAATTATGCCAGGTAGTGCCTTACTGCAGAGCTGTAATTTTGGGCATAAGTGTCTTTAAAGAATTTATAGAAAAGCTGTGGTGGAAGACACCTAAATCTAGAATTATTTATATTATTTATTTTGTAAAATGTCTATCAAACTTTTCCTGTCTGTAATAATTTACTTTCTATTCTCTTGTGCCAATAAGGCTGCTGTTTGTACTTTTTTAACAGGAAAGTCTTTTTATTATAGAGGCTGTTTCCTTACACCTACTATTTTAAACCCACTTCCACCTGCCATTCCCCCCAAAATCTTGGTTTAATCCCAGATTCCAAAGAACTGTGAGGCCTTATAGAATTATAAGCATTATCAAGTCCCTTTTATGCAAGGCTTTTGCTTTGTCACAAGAGCTTATGCTCTCCTGTTCTTGTCCTGCATAGCTTTTTCTCCACAACTTCTGGTGAAATCATTTCAGCTGTGCATTGCTTTATTGCTTCCACCCACTCACCCATGCTCGAATATTTGTTAAACTCCCCATGATAGCTGGGGAAAAAAGTCCAAATTACCAATCAGAAAACTAATCCAATGGCTGCATGCCAGCACTGCTTGTACAGTAAATATGAGTTTGTACATGCTACAAGTATTCTTGAAGGTAACAAATTCTAGCTGGCCTCTGTCAGTTCGGGGGTTTGCCTTCTTTTGGTGGTGGTGCATTTTGAAAAACACTTCTGCTAATTTTCTATTGGCTGAAAGGGAATCAGTCTCCTTTGCAGCAGTGAGACTTAAACCTACCATCGCTTGACACTCCCCAGGGACTTGGCTTACAAACTGCAATGCAACACTTGGAACACAGCAGAGCAATTCACACTAACCTGCAACTTGCTGATGGTAGCATTGTCTTTGTCCTTCCAGAAGAAATAAGCTAGAATATTTAGCTAGATAATCCTAGATTTAATTGTCCTGAGAACCATTTTAATGGGTTTGTAATTATAAAATGGGCAGTCTTTCATATTCCCTCTTTCTATGGTGAAAAATGGATGAAGAAATTCTTGAGAAATTACCATTTGCAGGTTACTGTTAAGTTTAGCATTCAGTCTTAACCGCATCTGTAAACACGGTCATGGCTGCCAAGGGAATAAGGAGAGGAAAAGCTTAAATTCAGTCAGCATGCCCCTCTGCTAACTTGTAGAGCTAACAACCGTTTGTGGATTCCCAACCCAATTTTGACTGTTTGATACTAAATTCAGAAGAATGCCAGTAGTTCTCCTGGAGTTTGTCTCAACTTGAACTGAGATAAGCAGGGAAATGCTTATTTTCCCTGCTATGTGTATCTTTAGGTATATTTAACTTTAGCTGTAATCTAGTAATACATACTTATTAAATATACAAAAGCTGAAGAATATCTTACAGGTCCTTAAAATTTCTGAAGCATCACTTAGAATCTCTGCATATATAGTATTGCAAAATTAAATGTTTGTGCATTATAAATCACTTCTATCTGCGATAGACTGTAGTCATTAAATGAAATGTGAACATTTGCATTAGACTTTCATGGGCAGATGTATGCCTTTCTGAATTATGTCTTAGCTTTTAAAACTGTGACTCTGCTTGATTCTAAGCTACATAATAAAGATAACTTGAGAATTTAATGCACACTTAAGAATTCATTTGAGGGGTGTAGAAATGTTTCAAGTGAAATACTGTGAATACTGTGCTTTGTTTTTGTTTTCTAGCAGTGGAATTAGATCCTAACTATATTAGAGCTTTGCTGAGGAGAGCAGAACTATATGAAAAAACAGAAAAACTAGATGAAGCTCTGGAAGATTATAAGGCAGTCCTAGAAAAAGACTCATCAGTTCATCAAGCCAGAGAAGCTTGCATGGTAAGCCTTTTTGGTATACTTTGGCCTAACTTTAAACCAAGGTCCTTTCTTTCCTATTCTAAATATAGAATGCTGTTTATGCAAGCAGCTTCATATGCAGTGGTGATGAATATTTTTGAGTCTGAAAGTGTGGTGCTTTTCTCATCTGGTTTTACGTAAGGAAGATTACTGCCACAACTTCCATGATAAGTCTCAGGTCCATAAAGCATAGTTCTCCTTTTACTTTTGTAAAATGAGTGAAAGTAAATGTGTGTTCTGAGCTGTAAGCAAGTAATTACATGTTTAGCTGTTGAATGGTGTGTGCGCACGTGCACACACACACACTTCGTTCTAGTTTTCTGATTGAGGCTGTGAATTGTATTTATGCATGTGCTAGAAAAGGTTGCCTGAACCACTGCTGCATTCTAGTAGCCATCATTTCAATACAGATCTGCAATTTGGAGATCAGAATACAAGCACCCTATAATACAGTTCTTGCTAGCTGTTTAATTAGTGGGAGTCTGGTTTTCTTTCAGTAGAATTATTTTTCTGATTGGTAAATTTGCAGTCAAATGCCTTTATGGCATAATTATAAAATAATTACTTTTTTTGATGACTTGATTATATAACTTTGAGAATGGCAAAGAGATAGGATTCTATCAGTCTGTATCTATGTTTGTATCCACTTTAAAATGTTGGTATTTTTGTTTCTTGATTTAGCTGTTTTCTGTTCTTGTTCGTTGCTATGCCTTGTGTGTGTATTGGCCACTTGAGTTATTTTACTAACAGTGACTGAAGCCTGCTATTAATCTTCAAAAACTTAGCCTTTCACTTGGAAGAAAAAGGCACTTTGTGTTTGCAAACAGCACTCTCCTGATTCAGTTACTTTCTTCATTCTAAAAAAAAAAAAAATTCTGCAGCTTAGTACTGTGTTCCAATGTCCACTTTCAATGAAATTACAAATACTTAAGGATTAAACATTTCTTGCAGAATCTTTGCCATATCTCTGAAAGTGTAAGGAAATGCTTTAAAAGTTTCCTTGGCCTTTAGGATGTGTCAGCTTGGATGAAAAAAGGTAGACCCCTAGCACTTCCTGAAACCCCAGTCTAACATGTAAATAATCCCTACTCAATGGGGATTTAAAGTCACTGCCACAGCCTGCTGATTTGAGGTTTTAAGTAACTCTTTGTGTAAAATACCAGCAGGAAGTGATTTTTCTAGTGATATTTAGTATGTTAATGCTCAATGTGGAAAATAGCTGTGAATTTGACAAGTTCAGAGGGTCTTTTCACAAGGGTAGCAAGAAGGGAAATTTATTTTGTGCAGAAAGCTCCTCTTACAGGCTGCTTGCTGTTCTTATTTTTGAAAAGAGGTTATGAAGGCTGTGTTGAAAACATAAATGTGGTAGAGTTATGGCCAGCCAGCCTGTGGTTTTGAAGGAACATGTCCTAATGAAAGGTAGCCACTATAAAAAGTACAGTGGTCATCACTTTTTATCAAAGTGGGAGCTTCAGGTCATGGTAGGTGAATGGTTTGCAAGCACCAGAGAGCCTGGAAAGAGCTGACCATCTTCTGCAGGGAAAACAACAGCTGAACTATTCTTTACTTCCATTTTAAGGTAAATGGATGCAATTTTAGAACGTAATTCTTAATTGGGCACCCAAATCCATATGCAAATACTTGACTTTATTGTTATCTGGTTAAATTTTCAGTGTCATTATTTTAGTTCAGCTTCACATCAGTGAACCTGCAACTGCCTCATAAAGAAAAGAAAATAATTTGCTTCACCCACAAAATTATCTCTAAAACCACTTTGAATATGTTGATGCAGAAGTAATGTTGAAAGGCTTAGGTTTAACTGTTTTAACTCTCCATTTGGGAAAATAAATCATTAGTAGTGATTGCCCCCCGCCCCCCTTTTCTCCATGCTATGGTGTTGTAAGTGACAGATTAGAAACTGCTTTTATAGCATATTAGACAAGAAGCCTTGTCTGAAATTAGTTCCTTTGGGACTGAATCAGTTGCACTGATGGCAGAAAAATATTCTGCTTAACTGTGTAACTCCTGTAGGGGTATGGTTTCACAAAACAGCTAAACTGATCTGCTAACTGCCTGCTCTTACGAAGCTGTCCGGTTGCTTTCCTTGTGCTAGCGCTGGTACTAGCTCATGTCCGACCCTAGGGGGTGGCTGGCTCTATATATGAGTCTGGCAGACAACGAACTCTGCTAAAGGGAAAAACAGCAACAAGCAAGCAAAAAAAAAAAGCCAGCAACCAGAAAACCCCAAAGTAAATAGTTTTATATTGCCCTGGCTTTTTACAGTCAGACAAGTCCCACTGCAAATGCTAGTGAGAAGGAAAGAAGACATGGTCAAGGCAGTACAGGAATTGGGGCCATCCCTTTTGCAGCACCCACTGACAAGGTCAGTTTACTGTACTGTGAAACAACCCCCTGATGCTTGTTGCATGCATCTGGTTGAGAGCAGGAGAGCACTTTATCACCTAGCTCTTGGCAATGGCTTAATAAATGACAAGCTTGTCAAACATCGTTACTGCATGGGTAGTGAATGTGATGGGTCCATCACAGTCTAGAAAAGAGTATTTGTGTTGGCCTTGTTTATAGTCTCCTAGCTGAGACTATTGCTTATTTGATCCAGGAATTCAGCCAAGGAGTCTGCTAACATTTCTAAAGGAAATGATGGGGTTTAGTTTCTGTAGCTTGTAGTTTTTTAGCATTAGACTAGCTCCAGAGTGAGGCCTAGTGTAATCTAGCCAGTTACTTGGTGAAATAGTATTAGTGTACAAGGAGTGCATTTTAGCAGCTCATCATACAAAGAACAACTGTGAAGATCAGACAGATTGTTATGATCCACCAGTCAGGACTCCACAGATTAAGACGGGAACGCTGTCAGTAGTTGGTACAAAATATAAGGAGTTTTAAAATACATATATTTTGGCTGATTGGAACGCCCTGAAAATATACATACTGTCCTTTATACCTCTTGCAAAATCACAATTTTCTTTCAGTGAGTATGCCTCTAATAGTCTCACAAAAGAGCCCTTGCTCAGTAACCAATGGAGATTTGGGCTAGAAGAGAATCATAAACAGTCCTGCTGTTCTTCCTGGCCATCTTTCAGGAATGCTTTAGAACGATCAGTAATTTATTCTTAATTTTTGTAGCTGGGAAGTACAGAGGTTGACTGTTTCATATACCTTCTGCTCCTTGACCTCATTTTACTAGACAGAGGCTTCAGGCTCACATGTGGTGCAGAACACTTTGTACAAAATGCCCTTAATTTACACTGCAGCGGGATTTAGGACATTCTGCCCTGAGTTGGTCCTGTTCTTTGTCAAGTTTCAGGGTAGAAGCAATCTTTTGAGTCTGAAGCTTAAAACTCCCCCTTGAAAAATTGTTGAGGAAATACTGATAGCTAGTTTTACACTTTTTAAAATATTCATAATAAATCTCTAAATTTCATAATAAAAAAACAATTCCAGCTGTAATGTTGATGTTAATGTAACTCCACATATGTGGTTAACATACCTAATATGTAAGAGACTAAGGAGCTTTGCTTTATTGTAAGGTAAAACGCATTTCTCTTTGCAGAAATATCGCAGCATTTTTTCCCCCTCGCTGGCAATGAAAATGATGCATCAAGAGAATCTGCAAATTAGGTTCACTCACTGTTAGAGCAAATTTTTCTCCTTCCTGTACATAGAAAATATTTCACATACTGCTTTAGGGAATGTCATGATCTTGCTAAAAGACAGTTTATAAATATTAAATACGCAGTAGTTCTTTGCTTTGATTCCTGATTTGGTAGCTGCTCTAAAATTTCAGTAGTGTTTATATTTCAGGAGTACAGTGCTAGTGTTTTGATTTAAATCCTAGTGTCGCACACTTCAGTTATTTTTGACATCTTCAATGCCAAATTAAACAGTTTGAAATTATAATGTTTTATGGTCAAATAATCCCTATTGATGCTTTCCCAGGAAGTGTTTAATTATATGGTATCAATCTTTAGGTTTTGTTTTTAGCGGGTGTGTAAGAGTGTTGTGTGAATTTTAGCTTCAACACAGTTCTTGAGGGATTGGCAGGCCAGATAAACTTATTTACCAAAACAAGCTGTACTTTGAGATAAGTATCATAGACACCAGATAAATAGCTGTCCTTACGGACACCTTTCTGTAGATAACTAACCTTGCAAATACATTTTTGGAGTGAGAAAAGCTGAGTCTTTGGAATAGCAGTATCAGACAGACAAAACATGGAGTATGTATTTCAGATAAAGGATTTGTGTCTTTATTTCCTGCTAAAGCCTAACGTCCAAATGTGAGAGAGACACGTTATATATGCCAAACTCATCCAAGATGCAGCAAATCTCACAGCCACAATGCAAACTGAATTTAGAGCCTGGGGATATCCACACATGTTTTCATGCAGGCAGCTTAGGTCCAGATCTGCACCCAACTTAATAAGCCCCTCTGGGTCAGCAGGAGTCAGATGAGGTCTGACTGTGTTAATTAGATCTGGCTCACTGGTGGTGATGCTGGTCCTGGGCTAGTTTCAAGCTTAGCCATCCATATATATCTGCATTGTATCCTTGGTACTCATTTTTCTGGTTTTTTTTCTGGGGTGTACCACCTCTCCTCCCCATCGCTATAGAAAACGAACTGTATTTGCCTGTGTTCACCAGTGTATCCTGCATTGAAGAGGACAGGAATAGTCAGGCAGCCTTGTCAATGGGCTTTTTCTTGAGGTGAACATCTTATTTCACTGTAGCAATGATACCAGGATGACAAACCTATCCACGATGACTGGAGCTGTAAATGACAGGAAGGAACAAGATTAGGAAATGAATTCTTTAACTATGTTGAGAAGCCAATTACCACAAGGGAATTGTATCAGGAGTGAATTCCACACCTGTTACCATAGTCTGCAACTGTAATTAATTTACTGATAGCACCATTACAGCAGATCTGTCTTATTTGCTATGACCTCCACAAGAAGAGACAGCAGTTATGCATATAATTGCATGCAGAACTGCCAGAATTATCCAGTAATAAGCACAGTATAAAAGCTTGAAATAGTACTTCTGCAAAATATGAAAAAGATGTATAAAAAGTGACTGTCATTTGTAATGTATTTTGTTTTAATATTGTATTTAACTGATGTATAGCAAATGCAAAATTTAAATGATACAATGGTAAATTTAGTTGTAATGAATATAAAATTCTAATTAAAAATTATCATTACAATCATATAGCAAAACACCAGTACTGTGTAAGGATGGAAGATGAGTCACAGCTGTTCTAGGCATAAATGGGAATCTCAAATCATTAGGAATGCATAGACCATGCAGTTACATAATGCTCATTAGAAACATGTGATAAGTTTGTTTGTGATGGTGCAACAGACTAACACTGATGCCAGTTGTGAGGAGGGAAAAAGCACATTAATGAACTGTTACTTGGACTAGTACCTTGCTCAGGATGAACTGTTGGAGTTCCCTCCCCGTGATCAATTGCCAGGTCAAGGCCCTCGTTTGTAACACCCTGTCCTCCTTAGAACTACGCCGTATATTGCATAATAAGACGCTGCTCGTTAAACTATGTCCTGAAGTTCATAGACAGTTAATTCGGTGATCTTCTGATAAAATATTTGTATTCAGAAGACATACGTGTTTTCACAGTGTGGATTTCCCTGAAGTGTGATGCCATTGCGAACTGACTTTATGGATGTTTTCTTCATTACACCTGTGTTTATGTTCAGAAGTCAAGTGCTATGCTTGCTTAGTTCTTCTAACCTCTCTTACCAAATTTAATGTATGCAGCAGAGGAGATAGGGCTAAAATATACTTTAATTTTAAGTCTCTCAAATTGCATAAGCTTTTCAGTTAAAATCCCAAGCAAACAGATCAGATCTGTTTTTCAGCAGTAAAAATGTATGCCTGTATGAAACCTGCACTTAAAAGTTACGACTTACTGTTTATGTGAACTGATGTCATAGGATGAATTACAGGTTTCCAAAATAAGAGGAAAGTGTGGTTTGACATAAGGATTCCTTTTAAGCCATAAACAGTGTATCCTGGGTATGTGTCTGAAAATTCCATAAGCTAAACCTACAGTATTACTGAAAGCATGGCTCTGATTCCAATTTTTATCTCTCTCCACAGCGATTACCTAGACAAATTGAAGAACGGAATGAAAAATTAAAGAAAGAAATGTTAGGTAAGTAGCATGTGCATATAACTTGCATAATAATCTTCATAGTCTACTAGAAAAATAAAAATGCATGAGTAGAATCTCTTGTATAAAATTTAAAGAAGGTAAATCTTAAAGGAAATACTTGTTCTGTGTTAAACAAGAGTCCTGATTTCTTTGTAGTTCTCTATTGCTTGGTTTCACCCTACAGTAAGTTGTAGCCAAATAATTCTCCCATACAGAAAAGGCTATTAGTTAAATTTAAGGAAAGAAATGCTCAAGACCTTCTAAAACAATTTAATATTGATGCATGTAAAAGCAGGGGAAAATGGTTTGCAACAGACCAACTGCTCTGCACTTTCTCTCTGCAAGTAAACCTTCAAAGGAAACATTCCCATGAAAGGGATAAAACAGGGTTTTCACTAAACCTTTACGTAAAAGAAGTCAACCAGCTGTAATAACTGACCATGTTTGAGCTTGTGTCTGAAGAAATAAATTTGGTTCTTTTTGTAGCACTTCCAACCTATAGATCTCCAAGTCTTCATGTTTACCTTGATTTATATAGTATTTCAGTTCTGTTTGTGTGGAGGCTGGATTAGACCTACCTAGTGTTACAAACAGGCATCTGGCCTTGCTAGCAGTGGAATTAGATTTCCTAACTGCATAGCTCATTGTCTCTTGAGTTTTTACAGTTCTATACCAAAGGATACTATTGAGACTGCTTATTTGTAGAAAAGAGAATTTAATTAATATAACTCATTTGACTGTATGTGCCCCCATCATCGTGTTGTATGGTATTGCTTGAATAATACCTTAACTGGACTGATGTATTTCAAAAGGATAACTACTTATATAAGATTGCTCAAGCAAGATTGGTTTTCATGTGTAAACTTAAGTATAAAGTACTTCCTTGCACCACTCACAATGTTATGGTTAAACTAACTGTTTTGGGGAGAACCTCCCGCCCAAAAAAAGACTGCTGTCAACATTGTCTTCTGTCTCCTAGTTAACAGGGTTTGTTAATTCTTACAGGTTCAGACACTACATAAGCCCATCTGACATTCTGGTGCTTTTTAAAATGAGTATTTTTATATAATCTTTTAATTTGTACTGTTTAGAAAATCCACACAAAAGAGTAAGGACAAACGACAGTCTAAGATAAACTATGTGTACCTAACCTCTTTCAGAAATAGCTTTTGGTAGTTATCTGTTTACTCATTCTAGGTGTGACAAGTAGTAGATGAAATGCTATTTTAAGATGAGTAGGCTTTGAGGGTTTGGGATGGGAAAGGGGAAGACAGCGTTCTGCTATTCTGCAGAGAGTCAGGTTAAATAAACTCAGTCTGTCTTGCATACTATAACACTAATTCTTAACATTTTTTGGAAGAAGAGGCTGTTTCAAGGGCTTATGCTGAAGCTGATACTTTATTTTTTTTCTTGCTGTGCAGGGAGTCTGATTATCTCTTGCTTTGTACCTGTTTTGACCTAGTAAAGTTGCAGTGAGGCTTTCTAGAGCTTTACATCATCAGATTCTGTTTCCACCATTGTACTTAGAACAAGCCATAAATAAAGAAGGTTAAGCTGTAAATAAATGACAAATGCAGAAAATCTCCAGAAGGATCATGCCCATTTGTAGGACATGGGATAGGTTTCAACACAAAGTAATATGAAAACAATTCCTGATCCTTTTTGAACACTCCCTTTGTACCATTGTTACCAATGTCTAAAGGGCCTCACTAATCACAAGGGGACTATACTGAAAGAATAAATCCAGCTTTATAAACCACCATTACAAACTGTCAGCTCAGGTGTCTGGGTTGTACCCCAGTTTTTTTGGTTCTGGGAGGGCAAGTCAGATGCATCCAAATAGTTGCAGGCTAGGCCTGGTCCAGAAGCACTGACACTAAACTTAATCACCAACAAAATCTTTAGAAAGAATGTCACACTTCATGCTTTGGCTCCTTTGAAGTTTGGATACTGAATTCTTATTTTAGTCAGTGAATCAGCCAGTAACATTGTTTTTCTAGGCTTGTATTCTTTCAACTAAAACTAAGTCCTGGCATACCCAACTAACACTGTCATGAAAACTGGAGCTGTGTACAAACAAACCAAAATAAATGGAGTGCATCTTCCTCCTTCCCCAAGTGTGTTTCCTGTTTTCCAGTGCTACAGCTCATTACCACAGAGTTTGTCAGAAGCTGAAACCACTTCTTAAGTGATTGTGTGTAAATAAATCAGAGTACACATTCTTGGCTGGATTTTTCCTCCAGGCTACCTAACTATGAATTCCTGTGTGCAAGTGGTAGTGCATGTGATGGATGAAGTTGATGTCAGTAGAAAAAACATGTTTTGTTGCCAAACCAAGTCCATTTCTGCTATGTGTTCTGCAAGGGACTAACTTTTCCAAAGCTGACATTTGTATTTAAATTATTTTCATATTTTCCATTCAGCCTTTGCAGGTTAGTGCTGCCACTTGCCGCTGAAGTTTGCTCAGTACGAACTAACCTCTGAGTTTCACATTAATGAAAGCTTAACTTATAGCACACTTTGAAAGTAGCTTTTAAATCCATGTGGCTCTTTCCCTTTATGCTTTCATAACGTCAGCGTATTCTGCCTTAGTAATTGCCCGGGATGTGAACATATACTGACCATTTTCTGTGCTCTTTTTTTATTTCTCTTCTGACTTTAAAGCCAAAGATTTCCAGCTATTGTGCAACAAGCTAGTCTTGTTTAGAGAAACTATAATTATTGTGATAACTAGGACCAGCTCCTTTGGGGAGAGGGTGTGAGAAGAGGGGAAGTTTGGAATAGTTTTAGCAAGGTTTAGCAGCTTGGGGGCTGTGACAACAGTAGAGTTTACTGCATGGCTACAGGGCAGCCAAATATATTGGATATTAAAAAAAAGGGATGGAACATATCCCAATCTGTGTAACCCATCTTGTACACACGGAGTTCATCAAATCTAATTAAAAACTATTGGGACTTTCAGCTTAAGTTATAAACAAGTGCATTCCAGAAAATAGTGAAATGTACTTGATTATCAATGTGATTAATGGGAAGGCCTATTAGAGCATATCACCTGGGCCTTTCTGCCAATAAGAGATTTTTCCAGTGACGTGAGATCAGCAAAGATGTTTATTAAGCTTAGTGCCTAAAGAATAAGTTTCTTTTTTTTGATACTGAAGGGTGTGTTGTATTTGCAGCTAAGCTGCTAAACCCCAATACTGTATACAGGGAGGTCACTTTAAATAGTTCAAACCAGAGCTAATATACAGTTACTTTTAGTTCAGCCCTCACTTACCATTTAGGGAAGGGAAAAGGATTTACCCTTGCTCTTTTAATAGCTTAAGAAATGTTGGTAATACAGAAAGTAATAGAAAGATGAGACTTCATCAGGAAATTTGTCTTTTATTAAAAAAAAAAATTAACATGAACAATATATAGCTTTTCAACTTCCAAACACCACATTACCACTAGCAACTATGCTAGAATTATTGCCAGAAAGACTGAATAGCCATTAATTTTGGCTGTTCCAACTTAATGTAAATCGTTAGAAATCTTTTTGTGCATCTGCCTTTTGCAGCAGTATGTTACACTGCAGTTTAGGTGAGTAATGAATCACAGACTTCTGAGACCTAAATTGATTTTTACCAGTTAGTTTTCTTGTTAACCTCTGAATATTGCTCTGCTGAAGAAACCTAACATGCTGGAATTCCAGGTGAAAAGTACACATATGCTCTCTAAAATATAAAGAACAAGATCTATGAAAATACGGTCTCAGAGAGGAGAATGTGACCCTGCTCGGGGACAAATGAGTGTTTGACTGCTGAGAACTCTTTGCAGCTGAGTCACAGCTCCACATGCCTTTTTCCTCCCTTCAAGCACGGTCTCTGTTTTAAGAGAGCTTTTCTTTGGGGGGAGGGGGAGGTTGGACTTCACTACAGATCTTAATTTAGGGATGAAAGGAGAGTGGGGGAGGAGGAAATAGTGCTTTCCTACAATGATGGGTTTATGTGCGCCAAGACAGCAGGAGCAATGCTTTGGGCTTGAGTTCCCGGATAAGGCAAGGCTTTCTTCTGCTTCATTAACAATTTATTACATGTGGCTGCACCAAAAGGCGTTGCTGTATATGGATTTAAGTGATAGAACAGGAAGGTGACCTATGACTGTATTGTTTTAATTATTCAATCCCAGTGAGATGAAGAATAAAGTATTAAATATATTGTATAGTCTTTAGCTTCTCCCAAAGAGCTGGCCTAGCTACAAGCAAGAATACCAAGGCAGTTGTCCTGTGTTTATTGGCTCTAGTATGACCAGAAAAGAGCCATCGTACTAACTCCAATTAGAAAAGACCTTTCACAGTTTCCTGAAACGGGCAAACTCGTCTGCCTGCTCCTGAGCCAGCTGCAGTGCCTGGATAACTTGTGAACTGTTTACAACTGGCTCTGGCAATGCCAGACTATGCCAGGATTCTTCCACCAGTAGACAAAGACACTTCTCACCCCAAACCTGAAGCTAAGCAATGACCAAATGTTTGTCGAGAAGTACGATAGCAACTATTCATCCCAGTCATAGAGATGCTAAGAACAACTTTATAGTTTTATAACCAAAACGCTTTTAGGATGCAGTATAAAATTATGAACTTAATAGCTTAAACAGGGTGTAGCTTAAAAAAACCCAAACCACCACCAGTACAAAGAAGCTAATCCTAGCTGAGCCACTCACTGGAATGACTTTGGCCAGATTGCTCAACCACCTCATCTGTTAATCCATGCAGAAAAAAAAAACCAAATTGAAGAAAAATTCTGTCTCACCAACTAGCTGCTTTTGTAGGCGAAGGTTGCCTTTTTTCCTGTGTAAGGCCACGGAATTTCCATGTTGACTCTCAAAGACCAATCTTGCTTTAAAGTAATTACACAAATCTCTGAAAGATACCCAGTTGTGAACCAGCACTTTGGTGCAAGATCTTAATGACTTTGGCATATTTAGGAGTACCGTAGTAATGTTAACTGTTAGTTTCTTTATGCAGCACTTAGTCGTTCCTTACAATAAAATGTTTACATTTTTCCCCAGCTATTGTTTCTTTTTGTATTTTCTGTGAATGTGTTCAAAAAAGCTCCCCCTGCCCCCAATTCAATTTTGGAAATGTGATTGAAAAAATAGCATATCTTGGTTTATGGTGATGGTGTCCAACCTGACTTGAACTGTTGCCAGATTGTAAGAGATAAGGGGCATACTTCCATGGGATAAGTTCAGACTTGGATACGATTTCTGTTTTGAGCGTGGTCCCAGGCCTGCAGCGTCACGCAAGGCAAATCTCTTGATCTGTTTGCACTCCATTTGTGCAACATAAATACTGCTTGTCTCTTTCTGTACAGAACTTACATACGGCTTTGCTCCTTACATTTCTATACTGCTTTATCACTGCTGTGAAGTTACTGCTTCAGTATGGCTTAGCAACAAAGCCTGAACTAAATTCTGGCTGATGCATTGTAGTGAGGAAACTTACTTAATAGCAGTAGTGATGATTGCACTGCCAGGCTGCACTGCTGGGCAGAAACAGGGTTTTCAAACAACCAAAAGAATTTAGGAAAAGCAAAGAAACTAAATGGTAAGTGTTCATATGACTTTGCAGTTAGATTCTAATATGTTAGTTTAGAAACAGAAATAAAGGTGAAGATGACTAGAATAACAGAGGTGTTTCTCGTGACTTAAGATGGCTTGCGGAAAGCACACAGATACAAGTAGGAATAGGTGTGGCATTTGCACATTTTAGTTACATGATTGTGACTACTTCAGTTGCTTAACTGGATTTCCTGTGTGCCAGATGTTGTTGTCACTTTTTCCCCACTGTGTGCACGCACAAAACTCCCAGCAAAACAAAACCCATTGCCTTGAAGATGTAGTAAAGGTAGAATGCTTTTTGAAAGGTGTGTAGCCTGTGGATGCAGACCTTGGGTAGGCTTCAACTTGCCAAAACTTCTCCTGTTTGTGCTTTGGGAAAGTAGTTACAATTCTGCATTGAAGCCAGGAGGAAAATAATGTTTTTCTTGGAAAACTGACCATCTTCCTCCTTTGTCTTGTCGTGCCAGGGGCTCAGCCTGTGTTTAGCCAACATTGAAGTTGTTACCTCTGCTTCTTGTTTAATTTTATGCATTTTATCTATTCTATCATCTCTATATAGATACGATTTTTTAAAAAGGATGTCTTTTTGTTGCCCTTCCCCTTTTATAGGTGTTCTAGAGTCAGATAGCATGTATGATACATACATATTGATAGAAACCTTTAGATTTTATTAACTGTCATACCCTATGTATATTTAACAATGCTTGTTAAATAATAGTTGCTTAGAGCTCTTAGCAACTAGTTAGTCCTGGAGAACTGTAGTTTTGAAAGTGAGTTAATGATGTCATGTCGCATGACACCATGCTGAGTTTTTTTGCAGGCAAAATGGCTGTAAAGTTGTATGCTTCAGATGGAACTGCTTAGTTTGCTGGTGCAAACACAGTTGTAAGGATGAATTTGTTTTATTTTTCTTTATATCAATGTACACATTTAGAAAGGGATTTTTAATAATTACAAATGAGCAGTTTGAACTTTAGCTTTCATTGTTTCTTTTGGTAGTCTGGGAAATTGGCTAGTTTGTTGATTGTGTATAGAGCTGTAGCTGCATCAACAATGACCAGAACTGAAAACCTTGTGTTAGAAAATTGAATTTTGGCAGCTATCAGCGTTATATCCAAGTGTAAGCATAGGGGAGACCAGTGCTTTGTTGTGAGCTGTTAACCTCTCGTGCCTCAAGAGCTTATAACTGAGGAAGTAAGGTGCTTCCGGACAGCTATAACCACGTAGCCATGACTGTCTGCAGCCACTGGCTCTTCATCAGGGCTGCCTGACAAACCATTCAGAACCAGCATGGTGATCTGTTTTCAACCCCAAAGTTGACAGTAACTACATCACAATTGGGATTTTTTTCATTCATGTAAGAGCCGAAATAATTCAACAAACTGCAGAGATTTTCACAGCATTCACCTTAAATTAGTAGATAAATTAGTAGAGCTGGCCTGCATAGTTGGGCATAATTCAATGGGAGTTTTCCCTCTGCTTAATACTTAACGTGTTATCTCTCCTTTTCATTGTAGGCAAACTGAAGGATCTTGGGAATTTGGTTCTCCGCCCCTTTGGCCTGTCAACAGAAAATTTCCAGATAAAACAGGATTCATCAACCGGTTCATACTCCATCAATTTTGTTCAAAATCCAAACAACAATAGATAACATTAATTCAATCTAGTTCTGCTGGCTTTCAGGCTTCGTGACCGTGTGCTTGCACGTACCAATAAAAGGATTCAGCAAACATTCTTCACGCTCCCCAAGTGAAGATAAGACTCAAGCATATTCATTTCCCTGCTTGTGAAATTATTTACAATGTAAAGCAAGTCATTTGACTTCTCTTAGTGATAACAGTGTCCAGTGTGTGTTTGGGGTTTTTTGGGTGTTTTTTTTACATTTTCTTTTCTTCCCTTGTGGTGTTTGGCTTGTCCAACAGTCAGGTTCATTATTTTGGTCCATTCAATGCTGGCAACAAAATTCTAGCAGCAATTCAGTTGAATCAAAATGCCCACGCACCTATAGCCAAGAACTAAGCCTAATGCTGTCTTGGAGAATTAATGAATCTAGCAGCCGCACTTCTCCACACTCAGCAGGTGGATATGACTGACAGCATGCATGGAAGCAAGCCAACCTCTTCTGTGGAATAATTTTTCTTTGTAATAAAGGCTTGGTATTTCTGGCGGTTTGGTTTGTGAAGTTCTTGCCTTATTTCAGTCCTTCCCATGGTGGTATTGTTTTTAAAAGTGCTTATAGCCACCCACAAACAACATACTTGCAAGACATTAATTTGAAGCATTTGATTTTTTTTCTCTTGCTTGTAGCAATATCAGTAATTAACCTCAGGCCACTCTTACACCACAGTTTGTTTACTTTTTATTAATTTTTCTGAAGGTAAGAAGGAAATTTTGTGCCTCTGTGTGTGTTGAGAGAGAGAGAGAGAGAGAGAAAGAGAGAGAGAGAGAGACCCAGAATGGCAAACAAATAAGTGATGTTAAAGTTGATTGTGAAAGATCTTCATAGTGTACTAGACCTTGAAGAATTTGAAGTATCTATCTACCTATATATATAGGTGCTGTTGAAGTAGTTCATTCAGATTTTGGAGCAGGAGTGTCTTTTGTAATTATTACTTACTGTTTTGTCTATTGATGCTGAAATGTTTACATCAGAGGCAGGTTTTTCAGTTGTCTCCATGCAGATTTCAATACACGATTCATTAAATAATTAGTGGTGGCTGTCTGTTGGCTATTAGTTGTCATCTTAAATTTATTTCAGGAAGTCTCTTTGTGTGTACTGAAGGACTTAAATTATAGAGCTCCAGTCTTTACACTGATATGCCTGAAAGGAATAGTCTCTCAAGCTAAGTTGTTCTTGGTGCTTTATTTTCATTTTGTTGCTGCAGCTGTGGAGGGGTTTTTTGATTGTTGTTTAACTCTGTCCTGCTGCATTTTTAGTTTTGACTTTGTGGTTACCTGTCCGTCTGTAAACTATCTCAAGTCTGCAGTGAGTGTGTGTTACGTAACTCTATGGGAGTTAAAATGTCATTGTCAAAAGAAGAGAGAAGCCCTAATTCACAGTGAGCCTTTAACATCTTCTGCATAATTAAAATGTCACTTAAGTAAATAACAGCAAACAACTTCTAGGATTTCCACGTGCTGAAACTGTAACTATGCCAAGCTTTACTGGAGTAAAGTTTCTAATGTGCAAGGCTGAATTTCCTTTACTAATAAACTTCGGGCAAACGGGTAGGTGTGTGGATGGGAGGTTGTAAAGAAAGATTTTGCTCCTCCGAGCAGCCACAGGGTAGCAGTGGCTGGAGCGGGGTTTCCAGCCAGAGGCTGGGTGTGTCGGACTCCAGTGTCCAGGCAGAGGGCTGAGCTTACCTGGGCAATGCGGGTGCGAGGGCATCTGCGGGGAGAGAAGTGTGCTCACACCCAAGAGGCTGTGCAGGTCCAGGTAGGCTAATTAGCTGTAAAACCACTCTGCTTTCTGAACTGAGCTCTTCAGATTCAGGGAAGGCTTATTGGGTTGGGCAGAGTGTTGGGACTAGTATAAATGTTAATAATCTTTCCTGAAACCTGGAACACTACGGAGCAAAGGTGTCCAAGCTGCTTCAGAGGAGCCCTGGGCAGAGGCAGTGCTGGGCTGAAGCTCACAAGCTCGGCTTGTGCCCAGGCCGAGGCACTCGGGTAGGTCTGAATCACGCTTCCCTAGAGCTCCTAGTTCAGCATGGGGCGGGTAGAGATGTCAGTTCTTGCTGTTGCAGGCTCCGTGCTGCCCGTGAGTGGGAAAAGGGGCTGGCCCTGGAAGCAGTACAATCTGTCTGCGCCTGGAGCCAGGCAGTCCCCCGACTCTTGAGTTACAGTAGCTGACTCCACACGGGCTGAAGGGTGGGGAAAGGAGTTCCTCTAGGCTTTTGTCTCATTTACCAACGTTAGCGCTAGTCCTGCATCACAATGTGAAGCAGCTTAGGTCTGTGCCCTGGGTTTCACTCAGCTGCAACATATGTACACCCTTAGAACATATGTAAATGGAACCGCTTTGAAGCTACTATGGATACTTTAAATTTTCTATATATCTTTGTTATTACCAAATAATTGCTATCTTTACACACTGTGTGTACATCTGTTATTTACCAGTGTATGGCTGTTGTGCAAAGTTACAAGCAGTGCCTTTTAGCAACCTGCTACTTGTCTTACAAGTGAGTTCAGTGACAAATTTTCTTCCTTCCATTCTGTTGCTGCTTCACATCTTTAAAGGGCTGGAGGGCTGCACATATGCCTTCTTGGGTGGAGGCTGGTTAACTTACTCTGGAAAATAAAAGCACAACAAAACTTTTGAAATTACTACCTGCTGTGCAAACAAAACATCAAATAAGCGTGCAACTTCCCTGCTGGACGCCTGATGAGTACCTATAGTTTTAAAATGAAGGGAAGAACAAATGAAGCTGAAGGATTGCAGCTGATTTGCTTTCCACACTTGTGTTTGTAATTTAATTGCATTGTGTGAAAGGGGGGTTAGTGTCAGTGGAAATCGGGCACACCATTACCGAGGACTCAAATCTCTAGGTCATACCTACTCCAAGTGCCACTCTCCGGCTAAAACAGAAACCTCTGAAATGCGTTACCTGCCATTACAGCAAGTTCACCTCTACGTAAAATTCCAATTAATTGCCTGAAAGAAGTCCTTTTGCATTGTCCAAATTCTGAACAATTGCATTTATTTTGCTTTTTATTTTTAAGGGATTTTTTTTTCCATCACAGCTGCCCCCAGAACGGTAATTGGTACTTCCTCCTGGTGTAACTGGCCACAATTCCACCGCAGTGCCAGGGTGGTGTGAGTCACGCGTGTTGGGCTTACAGCCTCTAACAGGAAACAAATGTTTTGTGAAACATAGTCTTTTAAATATCAGTGCTCTTACACCAACAAGTTCCTTGCTAATTTGTTCCAATAGTTACTCACCTCATTGTAACCAGCATGTGCCTTTTTTCCACTTTGAGTTGTCTGTCCTCAGCTCCCAGCCTTTGCTCCTTCTTACTCTGCCTGCAAAATAAAAAACATTTTAGTACCTGGCCTTTTCTCCCTGAACATGTTCGCACAGTAATGAAGGGGGCTGTTGGTCTTCTCCATAAGCTGAAGAGACAGAGCTGCTTTAAGTCTCTCCCTGATGAAGAACTTTCTCCAGGATTTCCATACCGTCTCGGACCTTCCTTTTTTTGACATTAGGAAGGGACATCAGAACTGACACTGAGATTTGTCTCCCTTCTGCTCTGTACAGAAGGTACGACGTTCTTACTCGCTTCTTCCTTGTTTATGCCCTCAAAGACTGTCAACCCTTTTGGCAACAGAAGTGCTAAGTTTTAGACCTCCCCTCAGCCTTTTCTGGGATAGCTGAGATACAGACCACCCCTGTTTCTGCAGCTGTGGACAAAGTTTTCTTCCTTGTGTTAATGCAGCTAAATGCTAAATTAAGTCCCACTTTGTTTGGCGGGCCTGGCTTGCTAAGCAATATATGTTGTTCTGTGTGTTTTCCTACCACTCTGTTGCTTACCAGCGCTTTCAGGAGTGACTTTAGATTTGCTTCTCAGTCACTGATGAAAGCGTCAGATAGTACGAGGTCTAGCAGTGATTTGAGCAGAATCTCGCAGGAAGCATCCCTGTCTGAAGGACAGTGGCAAACTGTCTGAGAGCTTAATCCACATGTGCATCATTTATTTTATACTGTAGATTGTTATCTGTAAATATTGCGTATACTGTAGAGTGCCATGCCAGGTGATGCGTCTTTATAATTAGACTTACTAAGCCTGGTTGAATGACAAGGTCTATTTTTGATGGATTTGAATTGCATGTTTGCCTTTAATTCTTTATTAATGGATTTCTGATCCTGTTTTCAGATTCCTATCCCTGATGTCAGATTATCCGGCCTATATTTACCCGCGTCTTCATCTTTGCCCTCTGTTGCTCCACTGACCTGTCTCTGTATCCAGCATTAAGCCCATATCTGGGCTTATTTTCAGTCCTGTTACTGTTCTGCCTGGGTGCTAACAGAATGGCAAATACACCATCCCACTTGCTTTAAATTGAGAAATACCCAACACCAGTACTTTTATGGTCTGCAGCAGGCCCCCACCGCATTTTGAGCACTGCTTTTGGTCCTAATAGATTAAAATTTCTCTTGTGTCATCTTTGTTAGTCACGTCTTTTTTAAGCTTTCCTTATCAAGACTGTATTCTCTTCCATCAAGTTTATAGCAACTACCTATTTTGTCTTCCCATATGCTTTTTTTTTTTTATTTTTAATCGCTGCCTTCATATCACTGTTGAACCTCCTGGCTGTATAACCAAAGATTACCTCATTTTGTAGTTTTTTTAAAAAATTATATTTCTTTTGTCTAGCGTCTTAAAAATTTACATTTTGTTTTTAATTTTCTTATTTCTAGTCAAGTTTACCCAATTTTTCCTTCTAGTTTTAGTTTTTTTAAAGGAGGGGTAGAAACGGAAAATACGTACATTTATATGTGGGTAGATGTGCATAGATCTGTGGGTAACTCCAGACTCTCTGTAACCACCAACTTCCAGGACACTGATTTTTGTCTCTAGACATTATAATACGGCTCCAAGTAACATATCCAGGATCTCATATTGGAAAGCCCTTCTAGAAATAATTTCAGGAAGCGCAGAGTGCCCAGTTTATCCTGGGCTCCAGGATAAGCAGGCTCCAGCAGTTTATCTTTTCATCACAATGATGAGCTTAAAAAGTAGCTCATCTGTTTTCTGGTGGGCCCATTAGTCCTGTTTCCTGAGCTTTATCATCACGCTCATTGATACGTGCTCGGTAGCCGTTTTAGTCTATAGAGTATGTAAAATTGCTGCTGCTTCTTCCTCCACTTACTCGACCCTTCCTGAATAGGTAATACCCAGTAATTGCCAGTCCAGTCATTTAAGTCATTCCGTTGCATTACCGTATTCTAAAGCTTGTATCATTATTTTTTCTCAATTGTGAGACTGTGCAAACGTTCTTATTGTACAGGAGTACTAGGAGTAGGAATGAGGAACTAGAAACCTCTATGCGCTCGCTGATAATTCAGTACCGGTTATTTACAACGCTAAATTTCAGATTATATCACTTTTGTTACCTCTACCTCTTCCTCTTCATGTGTGATGGGAGCAGGATACCCAAGAGAGCCATCTTCACCCTCCACTTCTCTGCTGCCACTCAAGCCAGCTCCACCTCCTGAGTCAGACCTGGACACAGAGACAGTTCAGAGTGGGTGTTTGAGTTAGCACAAAACCTAAATTACTAAAAATCCAGCAGGTGAGCTGCCCCAGCAGGGCTTGCACGCTGGACTCAGCCCAGTCAAGATGACCTTCCCCACCATGGAGCTCTCCATGCCATAAACCCAAGATGTGCAGTGAAGTACAGCCATTTCCAGCGTCTGTCTTCATTTATTCAAGGGATCAGAAGAATCGCTGAGGTTTTATGAATAACTTTACAGGGTCCCTGTAGTGTCCCATACTCGGTAATTCAATCTGTTCTCCTTCCTGTGGTTATTCCCAGCAGCAGACCCTTGCTGGGTGTCTGTAACCCACCCAGTCTTGCACCACCGTGCTCGGTGGTGGCTGACCCACAGGGCTTCCAAAACTGACACTTCACAAAGCTCTAAGGTGCATATGTGGGTTCCTGAGAAAGCAAACACTCACTTATCCCCAGGGAAAGCCTTGTCTTACTGTCTCCTCAGCAAAGTGCAGCTATCCGCCCAGCTACAGAGAAGGACTCCACAAACCTTGTTAAAATCCCATTTGCTTTTATTTGACGTCACTTTGCTGCAGCGGGAGGTGGGATGCCCCGAGAAGGTCTCTCCCCCAAACACTCGCCCTGCCATATCTTGCCACGCACCCTCATGAGAAAACCCAATGCAGCATCACGACCAAGTCGACAGAGGAACAAAACCAGGGTTGTTTCCGTTACCGCGCAGTGGGCGCCCTTTTGCTTTTGGCTCTTTCTGCCCCTGGCAGCGTGCAAAGCCCCATCCCCCCTTTCTACCACCACCTTGCTCCTTCCCGCCTGCTCTTGCCTTTTGGCTCCTCAATGAGGAGATGCGCCAGATCTGTCCCTTTCCGCCGCATACGTGGCACAGCCACGCTGCTGACCACCTCTGCGTGCTCTCGCCTCCCCTCAACCCCCAGCATAAACCACAAACTCAGGTA